ATGTATTCATTTAGGTGGAATAACCTTTTCAGTGCTTCCTGGGCTAAATCTTTATAAGTTAACGTGAAGCTTTTATGTCTTCTTCTCTTTATCATTATATTGTCATTCTGTTTCTAATAATCCTAAAAAGTGCTATACAGCACAGAAAATCAAATCATGACAAATGGTCTCTACCTTGATCTTTGGATATGTTGTCAGAACATTAGAGAGAAGGTTACATATGTTTAAGGCACTGGAACTACAATATACCAAGCAGGTGGGAAAAATAAACAAACATTTTGAAGTGTTTGATTCAACTATATTCTAGCAACACATTTTTTCCCCCAACACTTTTTATAAAACATGATCTCTATAAATCATGTAAGCCATTTTAAAAGTAGATTTGGGCCAAGTTCAAGGTGTTTTAAAGTGACTTTTCTTGGTAATTGGCTTTCTTTGTCTCTTGGTTAACATGGTCCTTGTTTACCACAGGTGTTCCTACTAAGAGAAGGTTACAAAGAAAGCAGTGGCCCTTTGTTTTTATCTACTTAAAAGGATGGAAGTTGGGGCCACCTGTAGGGAGGCTGAATTGGGATGTGTGAAAGACAATATGTCTCAGTAAGGCAGACAAACTGTGTAGGCTGCATCTTCCACAGAAAAAAATACACGAGGCTAACTTTAAAACATGAATAGTTGATTAAGAAGGGAGTTAGCAATACTTGCCTGAAACTGATTCCTGTGATCCAAGGAGATTCATGTGAAAAATATATTTTACTCTTCCTAATTGTAGTGTTGGAAATATTTATGCATGCTGTTATGTCTCCATAGCACCTATCATATGCTCAGGAAATAGTACAAATTAAATTCACTTGATTTAATCAGAGGGCACATAATCAATGCTAGTTATTTTACCTAAACCACATAATTACTTAAGAGACAGGGAAAACATTCTTATTTCATATTTAATAAATACTGTGGTTTTAAATCCATATTGCCATAAGAATGAACCAAAACATTAGCTTGGGCCATAAACAGGTATTTCCACTCCTTGACAAGATGGCAAAAATCTAGATTATAAGTACATTGAATACATGATTGACCTGTATTTCTCCTAAGAAATTATATGCTGATGGCTTCTTAGATTTTCATAGAGACATAATATTTTTTCTATTGTTTAAGGAAGCAAATAAGTCTAAAGACTGTCAGCAAGAGAGAAGCACAAAATGACTCTCTTATGTATACATTATTAAGGTAATGCCCATCAACTGGCATAAAATATGAGCCAAAAGCACCTTGGAGTAATATTTTCAGGCATTTCTTTCCTAACTCACTATTTTATTTAGCTTTCCATAATAGGGAGTTGTTATTTCATTAAAATTATTTGCTTTAGTTTTAGATATTATAGAAAAAAATACATTTATCTTAAACATTTCTTCAGCATACTATACCCCAAATCTGATATGCTAACCAAACTAATGAATTTAGTTGGCTATTTAGGTATTAGCTGAAACATGTTTGATAGAACAAATACACTTGATTTTTCTACAAATTACACAAACTTAAAAAATTGTAACTTAAACATTTTATTGATGTGTAATTTACATATAATAAAATGAATCTGTTTTAAATGTAACGTTCAGTAAGTTTTGACAAATGTATACACTCCTATAAACACAATCAATATATAAAACATTTTCATTACCCTGAAATATTTATTGCGTCCCTTGGCTGTCTGCTTACTCATTTCAGACCCTAGAAAACCACCAAGGTCCTTTATCTCATTAAAGTTTAGTTTTCATTTCCTGGAATTTCATATAAATAAACTCAAAACGTACATGTTCATTTGTGCCTGACTTCTTTTGCTCAACATTATGATTTTGAGTTTCATTTTGTGTTTAGTATATCATTAAATTATTTTTTTTTTTTTATCACAGAGCAGATTCGTATTGTATGGCTATACTACAGTTTCTCTCCTTTAGCTAGAAAGCTCACTGTTTCTAGTTTTTGACTATAATGAATAAAAGTGCCATGAACATTTGTATACAAATCTCTGGGCAAACATTTTCATTTCCCTTTTAAACCCTAAAAATAAAATAGCTGAGTTGTATGGCATGTTTGACTTTATAAGGAATGGACAAACTATTTCCTAAAATCATTGTCACACTCCTTCCAGCAATGCATGAGAATTTCACCTCTGTTTTAAAGATTTTTTACCTCTTTATCATTAGTTTTCAGTATTTTTATTGTAATGCATCGTGTATGTGTGTGTGTGTGTGTGTGTGCGCGCACCTGTTGCTGATTTAATGAACTTCTAGGATCTACGAGTTATAGTTTTTATCAATTTTGGAAAAACCTCAGCCATTTCTAAATTTTTTTTTTTTTGCTTCCTGTCCATTTTCTGGAAGTACACATACACATTTGTTCAAGGTTTGGTATTGTCTGCTACTCCTATCATCTCTGTTAACTCTAGCTGTAAGTTTAAAAAATGTTTTTTCTCCTGCTTATGGGTTACATTTCTTATTTCTTAGCATATTAATCTTTTAATGGATGATGAGCATTGCAAATTTAACATTGTTCATTGCTTTATATTCTTTGTCATCCTTTAGAAATGGTGGATGTTCTTGCAGGCAGTTAAATTACTCATAGATCAGTTTGCTCCTTTTGAGGCTAGTATTTTAGGCTTTGTTAGGCTAGAACTCTAGTACTATGGCAATATTTTTCTGAGATTTAGGGTTTTCCACTCTGCTGGTGGGAATTGTTCAGCTTACAGAACTTCTGGAATTTATTTGTCAGTACTGGAGGAATTTTACCTCATGCATTTGTGACTTGGTATTCATCAGTAGACACAAGGGGATACCTATACAGGTTTCTGGAGATTTTCTGTGCCATGGCTGCCTCTTTTCTGGTTCTCTGTCTTGCCAATACTAGCACCTGCCTCCACAACTTCTGATCCTGTGTTCTTAGCTCAGTGAGACACCTTTCACTGCAGAAAGTGCCTCCAGATTGAAAGCAAGGCTAACAGGAGACCCATCTTGTTTGTTTTCCTTCTTTGAGGGATCATATCTCCTACTATTTTATCTCCAATGTATAAAAACAGTTGACCTGTATATTTTGTTTAGTTTTATGTTCTTAAAAAAATATATCGGGGTATTCTAGTTATTCCACCATGGCTAAAAGAAGAAACCCAGCAACATGTTTTCCATGCTATAAACACAAGGATTTCTTCCAAGATGTTTGTTAAGTAGATCATAGATGAAATACATTTGCCTTTGTTTCCTGGTTTATGTGTTTTTAAAAGTTAAATGTCTTTTATTCTATTTATGATAGTTGAATAAAGAATAAATTTGCATATTAGAATACATAGATGTAAGTATGTGAAAATAACTTACATTTACACTTATTTGATAGCTAGCAAACATCAATGACATTTTTACAATTGTTAAGTTTCAAATCTTAATTTTACTGTTTTCTTTATTCATGGCTTAACAGGTCATGATAAAGTCCTTCAGGAATATGTACACATTTTTTCCTGTGTGACATTAAGCTTTATATATTTCCACTTTGATTAAGGTTTGCAAAACTGATTTGCTATTCAAATAAAGGATGTCATATAGGAAGTGGATGTCTCATACTCTACCCAATTAACTAGAATGTTTTTTTCTTTTTTAAAAATAAGAAATTCACTTGCAGGAGACACATTCCTAAAGAATCGATAAAAATAACCTCATGTCACATTTAAAAAGAAGAAAAAGTAAAGAAAGAAAGAAGAAAAGTAGAAAGGAAACAAAGAATGAAAACTGCCAAAAATCCCCTGGTTTAGGAATTAAAGATTAGATATATGGGCCAACATTCTAACCACTTAGCAACACCAGTCATGGCTACAAGATTACTTGTTAAAAGGGATTTATAATTCCATGTACAAGCCCCTAAAAAATGTAAAAAATAGACTCTTTGAGTCTATTTTCAAATTTGTATGCAGTATAAGAATGATGCTATTTTTAAGTTTATACATCCATCAATTTGCCAATTGCTTCCTGGTATCAGCAAGGTTATCTTTAGTGGTTCCAAGGTGTGATTTTGGAAAAAAAAAATACTAACATTAAAACATCTTTAGTTCAATACAAACTCTTTTTCTTATTTCAAAGAATGCTCCTTATAAGTAATGCTCATGATACTACTCAATTACAAGGTAAAGGTCAATCAGTTAGGCCTTGACATAGTGTCACAGGGAAAGGGCTTTATAGGCAATAACAGGGATATACACACACACACACACACACACACACAAAGTATATATACATAGGAGATTAACTTGCATTATTATTAGTGATCATATATACATATAAATTGGTGATATATATTTCTATATCTAATTAGGACATCTAGTAATATAATGTAAGCTAATCTTTCTCATTCTAACTTGCCTCAGCTGGAAATAGAAAATAACCATTGGTAATAAATTATGGACACTATTTTACAGCAGTAAAGGCGAACTGCAGGTCTTAATTGCTGAATCCCAAGACCCATGTGACTCCAGTTTTATGCTCATGCTTTCCTGAGGTCCTGAAAACCTTCGGTTGCTTCCCTTCAAAGACAAATACACTATGATACCTAAATATGTAACCCCATTACTTCTAAAATTATATATATATATAATTGATATCACCAGAACATTTAGAGTATGGTTTTATATATATATATAACCTTACTCTAAATGTTCTGGTGATACCAATTTTGTGATGTTATTTTGTCCTAATAGATAACAAAAGAGAAGTCTACTTACAGCCAATCAACATGACACAAATTGAAAAGATTTTTTCCGAATTGGTGTTAGGTGACACATTTCCGAATCCTACACTGGTTAGACTGCTGAAGGTAAAATAAAGTGCTGTGACGTATTTGTCTTTAATGGATGGCCCAGAACTTGAGTCACTGTCATTGTAACGTTTTCCAATCTGTTGTCCTAAGGAATCCAACCATCCGATTTTGTCAGTCAGGTAGGGCCTTTCTACATTCCCGATCGCATACCAAATGCAAGCCAGCCAGTGAGCAATGAGGGCAAATATGCACATTAAGAGCATGAGAACAGCAGCGCCATATTCTGAATACCGATCAAGCTTCCGAGCCACTCGCACCAGGCGGAGGAGCCGAGCTGTCTTCAGAAGGCCAATCAGTGTTGTTGTCTGTGGAAGTAAATATGCGTGGTCAGAAACAGTTGGTAAAAAATTCAAGGTATGTCCCTGTGAAGCTAGGTAGCAGGAACAGGTTAAAACAATATGGTGGCATCAACGAGAACTGTATATTTGAATTAAGTATTTTTTACCCACTTAGTAAAATATTCTGAACATGTGCATTACGCTAATTCAGTATCTTGGCATGCAAGAACTCCGGGACCAAGAATTTATCTATCTTGCTTTATGCTCTGACCACCATGGTAAATCATTCATTCACCAACAAACATCCCGGGGTGTTATTAGTGTGCCTAGCAAGTGCCACACACTGGAAGTAGAGTATTGAAAAGAACATACATGGTCACTTTTCTATGAGAGACAGTTATCTGGCAAAGCGTCTTCTTTAATGAAGAGAAAGAAGTTCACTATCTATTGGGAAGATAAATAAACAGTAAGGTCATTTCAGAGATGAGAAGTGCCATGATGAAAATAAGACAGAGTGATATAATAGAAGATGTTTGGGGGCCTGGGGTGGAATGGGGACCAGTTTATAAAAGAGGGTCTTGCTGAGGAGCTGTCCTTAGAATTGAGAAAGATCTGCGTAAGGAGAAGGAGCCAGTCAAGCAGGTAACTGGGAAACTTATTGGATGATTGCATGCATGCAGTAGACACTATATTTAAATGCTTTTTTTTCCTTCTTAAATGTGTTAAGTTGATAAATTGTTTCTTGCTCTCCCAACCATATTGTGCATTTTGCTTTGTGGTGTAATATATGTAACTAATTACATGATTATTATTGATCACGTATCTAATGATAGGACGCTTCCATATAATAACATGATACTTAACTGGTTGTTTGGATTTTAAATCTGATAAGTACAAATTACAAGTTTAGTTTTTGGGTCTCCTAAATAATGTCAACTATAAGTACTACATATTTCACAGTGCATATAATTACTCCATAGCTACGTGGTGTTTACCAATCAATTATTTAGTCATTTTATCTGTTCATTGTTGGTGTTTATTTCACAAAGTGCATCCAACTGAGTTAAGAACATATATTTTAATTAGAGAAATAGTTCATGGCATAAGCATCACCCTATATCTATTCACATTGACTTGGTGGAAAATTGGCACTAAGTATCAAGAAAAACATTTTCATTAAAATACTGTAATTGTTGTATTTTCCCCTTCAGCCCCCTCTCCCCCCTTGGGTCAAAATGGTGACAAGAGAAGGGGAGATTTCTCAGTTTCCCTGAATTCTTTAATTAAGGGAGTACTGACACCCTCTACAGGTGAGAAGGGCTTGTGTAGTTGAGACGCGCTGATCACAACTGGACTCTAGACTTAGCGCATTTCGGAATGTGTGGAGAGGCGAGGCTTCCCTGTTTTCAATGCTGGGTTCTTTTTTTTCAGGTGCAATACAGAAAACAGTTTTTTTGTCCACAGATTTAAAAGTATATCTCATCACAGTAAATAAATGGAGAATTTAAGTTAGTATTAAGTAGTTCCTTGGGAGAAAAGTCAACTTTCTACTATTTGTATTATCAGCATTTTAGTTTAGCACCTATGTGCTAAGACTGTTTAAATTCTGCTTCTAGGAAAAGTTACTTATTTAATCTCTAAGCATCAGTTTTCAATGTTATGGGCATAATAATGCCTACCTTACCGGACTGTAGAAAATACCCAATAAATGTTAGCTTTTCACGTTCTTATTTGAACACCCCAGGCATTTTATTTTCATAAATAAGCAGGAACTTTTATTATAAAATGAGTTGATAGAGTTTACACACTTTCAAAATGTGTTACCCAGATATCTGGAATCCCAAATGGAGGTATTTTAACATTGGCTTTGCAGGTTCCACAGGAAATGGCGGGAATTTTATTTTATTTTATTTATTTTTGGTTAATCCTCGACCTAGGATACTTTTCCATTGATTTTTAGAGAGAGTGGAAGGGAGAGGGAGAGATACAGAGAGAGAAACATCAGTGTGTGAGAAACACATTGATTGATTGCCTCCAGGCATGTGCCCCAACCAGGGCTGGGGATCGAGCCTGCAACCAAACTGGAATCAAATCCAGGAACCTTCAGTCCGTGGGCCGATGCTATATTCACTAGGCCAAACCAGCTAGGGCATGGCAGGGATTTTTAAAGACAAGGACTTCATCCAGTTGCACTGACTGCTCAGACTCTGATAATTCGAATCACTCTGGTTCAATGTGTCATCATTTCTATACTTCACAGCTTTAGTTTACATGTTTATTTTTATCCTAGCCCAGTTATCTATTTCCTTCTATGGAGAAATCAGTAATATCTGAGGATTATTATTCAAAACTTCTTGTCCTTGGAACAAAATTTCTCTTTGAACTCTAAAGTAAATGAAATATAATGAAAATTCTCTACATATTTGATTAATGAAGTGAGATGCTTGAAAAGAAATGAGCTGTTTTTAGATCATAAGTGATAATAAGAACTGACTCTTCAGGCTGCAAAAGTGGTAGAGTAAAAATGATATGAGGAAAGGAAAAAAGGAATAAAATCTGCCGGCATGCCACCCATCTCCTTTTTGTTCTCTTCCCAAAGAAACCTCTGATGTTTCCTCTAGAATTATATTAAAATGAGATAAAACCTAAATGACAGTACGTTTTCTGACCAGATAAATAAATATGTCTTATATAATAACACTCAAGAGACATCTTTTCTGAACAAAAAAGCTTAAGAAATAGGGTACACAATGAAGTCTCAACCCAATTTCAAAAGTGAATATTGACTTCAGAGTCAAAGCCATGTACCCAAGCATAACTGTATGTTAGTTTGACAATATGACAAATGACTTGACCTTCTTTCTATTGTTATCAAGATGCACTCATGCACCTGAGCATTCTTTCTTAGCTGCAATTGTATACAGCACATCTTGTAGGTAACACAGTATTGCAATAACTCCTTTCTTCTTGTTGCTTAATTATCTCTTTATAGATTTAAGGGAAGTTTTGTCCCAGGTTGCACAACAGAAAGAAGTGATTGCACCAAAATCTCAGGGAGAATAGACTAAGGAATGATCAATATCCTTGTGCTGATTTGTTGGGGATCGTTTGTCTCCATTGTTTAGTACAATGAACTATCTTGTATTACTGCAAGTGAAAAATGGGACCAACAACTACCTTACAATATAATTGTGTTGACATCCGAATTTGGCTGAGTGGAGTGTTTTCAGACTGTATCTCACAGCATATCTAATTTTAAGTACTATCCAGACATATAATGGAAGACTGCCTTTGTGGGTTTTCTCAATTTTTAAAAATAGACATGAAACCATCTTTAAATCAATTATAATAATTTCAAAAGTGATAGAGATAATGGACTTTCTCTTAGATGATAGTTCTTGAGCTTTTCATTGGATATTAGAAAAATATTGCATTTATTGTTACTTTTGGTAGAGATGAAATAACATTAAAGCTCACTAGAGTTAAGTATTATTATTATGAAATATAAAGACATAATGATAAATAAGATATAGAAAAATCTGAGCCATTTTGCAGTGGATTGAAGCAAGGTACTTTGTTTTCCGACCTGCCCATGAACTACAGCAAGTCAAGTCTCCACCTCATCAATATCCACACCATCTCAGAATCAACTCCTTTACCTTGATTCAATGATATTTCAAATTCTTTTTGCCTGAATGCCATAATTTTAAAAAGTCTATTTATTTAAGGCTTTTATTTTTAATGCATTTTTTAAAATATTTTTTTTAAATGTAAAATTCCTTTTCCCCTGGAAATTCACTTATTTAAATTTCACGGGGTGAGGAGGGAGGCACTGATGAATATAATCCAATTTCAATTTTTTAAAAATGTATATATATCCATAGTTTATTAAAGTCCTAGATACTTTATTATATTGAGTTAGAAATTAGTTTTCTTTATAAAGTATGACTTTCTCAACTAAATTTTATTTTAATAATATATACTCTGAACAATTATGTCCTTGCAACTATGTTAGGTACTAGACCCAGATTCAAGAAGATTATGTGATTTTTTTACTAGACATTTTACAATATATCAGGCAATATTCTCTCTTAATGTAGAGGAATTCATCTTCAAGGCCTGAAATAGAATAGGATATTTCTGATCAGTATTCAACAACTCTCCACTCAAGATTAAATGTGGCTACAGTTAAACTGAGAAAACCTAATCTGTAAGAGAAAATCTTATGCTCAAATGGTTTTCAAAATTATTTTGAAAAATAATTCTAATGCCTTTTTAGTAAGCATTTTCAAGACTCTTACATTTAAAATACTTTATTTACCGGTGTTTACGGTAAGTGGAAAGAAATATTCTTTTATAAATGAGGAAATATAAGCATGTGATCTTTGGTTTCATGTACAGGGTTGATAAATTGAATTGTCACTGAAACTTTCTACTTAATCCATTAGTTTGTCTTGCTTGTCAAGAAATATTTGGATACTAGAGGGGAAATGGGAAGAGTGAGTAATAAATTTCATAACTGTACACTTATGCTTTGCTTTATATTTTATTTCAATTACCTTTAAGCTCTGGTACTTGTAAACAGCATTTAATGAATTACTTAGCAATATAACTTAACAATTTTGAAACTAGTTTCTGTTGTTCATCTTGAGTCACATTATTTCAATATTTCTAAGAATACACTCACTAATACAATCAAAGAGCTACATTTTGAGCGTGTTACAAACATTGAAGGAATAGCCTAACTTATCTTTTCTTTATTCATACCAAATCTCACACATTTCTCCAGTAACTGTGGCTTTTAAAGAGAAGATGACCTTAAACCTTTTGGGAAACTCGCCTTAATATTGAACAACCTTTAACCATTTAAGCCTTTTATTTTTATTTTGTTTTATAATTAACACTAGGGGCCTGGTGCACGAAATTCGTGCACTGGGTGTGTGTGTGTGTGTGGGGGGGGAGTGTGTCCCTCAGCCCAGCCTACCCCCTCTCAAATACTGGGAGCCCTGAGGCGTTGACCCCCATCA